GGTAAGAAATATCTAGAGCCATCGTGATTGGATGTGTGATACGGACCCCATATGTCCATATGAACTAGGAAAATTTATAGGTTGTGGAAGGCGTGTGTTTGGGAAATTTTATGTAGGACTGTTTTTGCAAAAGGACAAATTGGACAATTAGGTTGCGGAATAGAGGCACTATGACCCAGACGTTGATGCAAAATAAAGAAGTTTTATTAATGTTTGTATTAAAGGAACTTTTATTTTCAATAATACAAGACAAGTTTTGTAGCATCAGAGAACCTATCCAATATGAAGGCCTTGGTGAACTTTACCCGAGCCCATCAGATTCCCAGTCAAACGGTCCTGAAATTCACATTTGTTAGAAAAAAATTAAGACACAGACATTATCTTGACATAGTTTGGAAACAGAGATGAGATTGAAACGGAAACAGGAACAAACAATACATTATGAAGGATTAAATGTTGATTGAGATGACAGTTCCTAATTGGGTGGCTGTGCATGTGTACCATTGGGCATGCAGACTGAGGTGTAAGGTATAGGGATTGTGGGAAAAATGTTTGGGATCGCAAATGATGTGGTCACTGCCCCTGATCAATTATCCAAAACTTCTTAGGTGATATTGGAACAAAAGGATGTACCTGCATAGGATGTTGTATTGGCCTGTGGACTTTGATTCAGCATTTGCAGGATCTACGATACTGTTCTTGGCTAAACTAGGAACCGCATCATTATTCTCAGAATTGACAGGAGTGACTTACTGATTGTTGGCAGTGGCCGATCCAGATCGTTGATTTTGGTTGCAGCCATGTAGTTTCCAACACGTGTCTCTCGTGTGGTTCCTCCTTTTGCAAAAATTGCAATAACGTTTTTGTTGGACTTGAATGGCCCATGAGAGGAATTAAAATTTGTGGAGTGGACTGGGCTATTTCCTGGATTTGGGCCAGCTGCAAATTTGGGATGCTTCTGGGATTTGGGTTAGAGCAAAGTTGAGCCCAAACCATTATTAAGCCCAGTTGAGTGTGAGCCATTGGATGAAAGTAGTGATATGAGCCGTTAATGCCTTCATATAAAGGTGGCTTTCCCTGTCAGTGTGCCCTAGCCTCCCTTTTCATTTCCATGCTTCATCTCAAACTGCCGCCGTTGGGGATGATGGACCGTGAAAGCTGCAGCTTCAGTGCTGGGTTAGGGTTTCAGAGGAAGCTGATCTCTGGCTTTCGTCTTGCACGGCCAGTTGGTAGGTGGGCCGGAGAGATGATGTTGGTGACGTAGCCAACATCTGGGTTCCAAAAGCAAAAAAACTGTCATTCAAACCAAGCAAAAGTGTACTACCCTATTTTGATCTTTCAGGTGTTGGATCTGGTGAAGAATCGTGGAGGGCCCTTCAATCGGTTCTTCAACAGCATCGAGCTCGTTCCAATCCCCGAAAGGCGATTGAAATATACTGTGACTGGCAGGTTGTGTTTTTGATTTCAAGAGATTTTTACGCAAAGTAAAGATCTTTGCAAGATCGAGTTGGCTGTACATCTCTCGGATGTTTGTCCATATTTCATGTGCGTTTTCTATCTGAGGCAAATGGCAGCAATCTCCTGGGTCAGGGAGTTGCTGATCCAGGCGCGAACGAGGGTATTGCACTGGATCCAGTGTTGGATCAGATGCGTTCATGGGTTGGGGAAGGGTTCCATCAATGAACCCTTCCTTATTTTTGGTTACCAAAGCTCGTCGGAAATCTCTGGCCCAAGTGACGTAATTTTGTGAGCCGGTTAATTGCTGTTTGACGAGCACAATTCAAAGCCATAGGAAACCGGCGAGAAAGGGGATCCCCTGGTTCCGGTCGACCGTGGAGGCTGGGAGGATTTGGAAAATCGGTAGGGATTTTGACCCGTCGGGTTAGGGTTTTGACTAATAAACCCGATGGAAATGGGCGGTTGAAAATGGAAGCCGGGTTGTTGGTTGGGCTCTGGTGGATGATTTGGACCAGTGTAAATGTTTGGGCCTACTGGAGTTTCGTTGTGTGAGCTATCATTTGTGGCTGTGGATTCTGAGTCTGGTTCAATTGTGTTTTGGTTGAATCCATTCTGTGATGTTTGGAAAAAAAAAAAAAAAAAAAACTGATCTTATGGCCTTGTTTTTGCAGTTTTAGAGAACAATGGCTTAGAGAGGATTGTAGCGGAAGCAAAGGTTGAGCCGTTGAGCTCTGATACCATGTCGAGTTAGAGATTGAAGTGGCAAAATGGGTTTAAGACTGCCGAAGAATGCCTACAAAGGGAGCTTGATAAAAGGGCAGAAATGAAGACCAAGAATATCAAGCAGAGAGAATTGTAATTGTTTATTGTGTATTGTAACGAGTACATGACCAATTTATATAGTGGCTTTGAATACAATAAAGATAATGAAATCATACAGTAAAGGAAATGCAATAAACAAAATATTACAATGATCAATCAATAATTGTAAATCAACAATTGCTTGATTCCAGCATAAATATCTTCAGCATTCCATATTTCATCAACAATTCCTATAAAAACATATTTCAATCATACAGGAACATTTAGTTCTTAATTAAGTAAGTTTTTATTTAAAAAAAAAAAAAGCTCCCGAAGACATTTTATATTTGCCTTAATATAAATGTTATTTCCAGGATAGGCCCCTAAGGGTCAGCCCAAGTCGATATTTTGCTTGAAGCTGAAGCTTTGCTATCCAAGGTTGCCGACAAATACGGCTCTCGGTGAGAACGTGCATCGTAACCCAAATTCTAACGCGGCCCATCGTGTTGTTGCTTGAATGTAACGTTAGTGCCCAAATACAGCCACAACTCCCTAGTTTTATTATTTATTTAGATCTCTTGAGTCTTGACTAAAGGAGTGAGAACGAAGATTAGTAGAATGGCAACCCAGTAGTCTCTTCGGAAAACTACTGGACAGAACCTTTCTTCTCCGATCCAAAATTTTAATTTTTCAATGAAGACGCGTTCGCCAGATCTGTATCTGAGGTCATTCCTTCCCTCTCGAATTTGCGTTAAAAATTAATTTCATTAGCAATCAACTTTCGAATTTGTTTTCCCCTTTGACTAAACATTTGAAGCCTCTTGATTGTTTATACCCTCTATTTGTTTTTTCTAGGTATTGGACTTTTTCGGAGTGGACCCTGCGAAAGGTCTCACTGATTCTCAGGTACTCGTAAATTCTTCAGAACATGATGTTTTCTGAATTGATTGATTATTAGCATCAGTTCAGTTTAAATTAGCTTCTACTTACCGCGAAAGATGTTATATAATTTGTACTTTGCAGGTGACACAACATGCAGAGTTTACGGTAAAATGGTACGTGCATTGTGTTTTGGTTTCCTGTAGTAGTTTACGAACAAGAAACGCGACCACAAATATTTATACTCTTTTTTCGGTTTCTCCTTCCTTTTTTCATTTTACTTGGTTTTGTGTTTGATGGCATATCATAAATGCTTAGCAACGATAATAAGTAGTGCTTCTCCAGAAGAAGAGAAGTAACAAATCATTTTCTGATTGCTAAGGCTGCCTAAACAATAGCTGTCTTCTAGCTTTTGCTCCACTCAATTTTCTGTATAGGTTTATTGATTTTGAAGATCTTGGTAGATGTGATTCGTGAGCAATTGAAAGACCACAACGAATTGGGAAGTTTAAGCATGCAAATTCAAAAGTTAGTTGCTGATAGCTGCTGCTTTCAATCATGCCACTATGTGGTTATGTGCTAAATTTCCCCTAGCAATTGCATGTACACGTTTTTTTTTTTTTCTTTTTCTTTTTCAATCATCTCGTTCTTTTGATATTGGATCTTCCTAGTTGGAAATTATAGAGTGGCGCACTTGATTGTGTGCTGGTGTCTGCAGTTACTTTGTAGAATCTTTCATACACAACATGTATTCTATTAAAGTTAATATTCATGCATTCATATAAAGTTTAATATTCATGCTTTTTGTGGTATTATCTATTGGTGATTATACATAACAACAAAATGTCATTCAAAGTTATGGTGATGTATCTTTAGTACCGCGTGAGTTTTTTGCTGTAATTGTTTAGTAGAAAAGTTATGGAATCTGATACTCATTTAAAAATATGTTCTTATAATGTATTTTTCTAAATATTTTCTTCTGATGTCTTTTTCTTCTTTAATTGCATGCTTCTCTCACGCGCTGCAGTGCTGCCTCAAGAAAAAGTAAGTACAGGCATACTCCTTGCTTACTCCTTTTTGATACTTTTTTTATTGCCTCATTACATTTTTGTGCATGAATACTTCTATTTCCCCTTTATATATAAATGAAACAATAACAATTTATGTGTTACTAAATTCTAACCTATCTAGCTGTAATTGGTTATTTTTAAGTTTGAACCTTATGTTTTTGACCCTTGAATACAGGACTCCTTCTGGAAATTGGTGTTGAAACAGTTTGATGATTTGCTTGTGAAGATATTAATTGCTGCAGCTGTTGTTTCTTTTGTTTTGGCTTTGGTTAATGGAGAGACTGGATTAACGGCTTTCTGGACCTTCTGTAAGATCTGCTTGGCAGGGCCTGTTTCTCCTTTTATTTTTCTTTAATAAATTTTTTATTTAAAATTTAAATGTATTGGTTTCAGTTTAAACTCATGTTTTGTTACCTTTACAGGTGATCCTGCTGATATTGGCTGCCAATGCAGCAGTTGGTGTAATTACAGAAACTAATGCTGAAGGCTCTTGAGGTAAGTTCCAAAGTTTTACTTTCAGACAGCTCACATGAAATTGAGCAGATTTCTAGTTTAGGCTAAAGTGGATCTTGTCTGCTTTAATTGAGCTTTCTACATGTAAGTTTTTGCTTGCTGACTAATGTCAGAGAAGAGGTCTTTCTTTGTGCTTATTTAATCTGCTTGAACTTTGGTTGAAGTATGCCTTTTATATGTTATTCATTTCTTTGTGGATGGTGAAGTCACACGCGCTTGAACTACTTTGACAGTTGTTTCTCAATTCCATTGTGTAGGAACTACGTGCCTATCAAGCAATATTGCAACTGTCCTGCGAAATGGTAACCAAAATTAAAACGGAAATAAACAAATGATTTTTTTTATTTTTACCACTATGGAGGGTATTTACAGTGGATTGGGGATCTCAATCTTATTATCTTTTATTAGAATTTATTTCATTTTCGTATAAAAGAATTTGTCACTAAACTGAACGAGAGAACTTTTGTCATTTTTGCTATACATAGTTTACATGTACCTATTATTGCAGGTTGTTTCTCCATTCTTCCAGCAACAGAACTGGTGCCAGGGGATATTGTAGAAGTTAATGGTAAGTTGGTCATGTGCTATTTTATAAAAATTTATTGATATTTGTAAAGAGTTCGAGAAGATCTTGAAAAGGTTTTCTTTTGTGAGTTAATAGTGGGATGCAAGATTCCAGCTGATTTGAGAATGATTGAGATGCTAAGTAATCAATTACGGGTTGATCAAGCATTCTTACAGGTATGTCTCCTCATATCAAATCTGAAAAATAGACTTGATTGTCAATGATGCACAGTTTTGAGTTGATCTTCAAAAATCAGGTATCAATACTTGAACTAAGTTAATAAGATAGCAATTGCCATTTTAGGGGTATACTTGCTAAATCTCTTTGGAAACAGTTATAAGTATCATGTTTAAATAGCAGACGAGGTCCATTCAGTGTGTACTGATCAATTTAGTGTGCAAGCCTTCTGCTATCTGGGTAATGGTCAATTCTGTACTGAACACTTTTTGACCTTTGTCACTGTGCTAAATTCATGTGTTAATTGTTCAATTAACAATTATGCAATAAGCTTTATAGGTAGACTGAGTGAAACTGAGTTGCCTCCGCCTACATTTTCTGAATTCATGTTTGTGTATATTTTTGTATAGCTTACATAATATCAAGACTTGGGAATCTTTGTAAGTATAGTCATGCTATTGTTGATTTGTAATCATCGTACTTTTGTAAATGCAAATTAATTTGTTTTCTCTTTAAGAAAAATATCATTTATTTCTGCTAAGTATGAAAACAGTTAAGAAAAAATCACCTTTTAGTTCTAATTCGAATTTTTAAGCTATATGAATGATTTAGATTCAATAGCTATTCATTTTCAGGTTAAGTAATCTGTTTTTACTGTATGTGATGTTTTCCTTTGAGATTGTACTGATTTTTCACTGTTATTAATGATATTTATAGGCTTATTGCGCATATACAAAACATGACTATCTCAAACTGGCTATAGTTTTGTAGCTATCAACTTGAACAGTTATTGCAGTACAGTTTTAGGCACAGGCCTACATTTTTAATACCTGAATTGATTTGGTGAATGTTAAGTGAAAAAAGTGGTGCATAATATTCTGTTTGCAAGAATTAGAAGATATTGTTATCTACCTTTTTCTTTTAAATTACTTCTTAATTCGTGCTTATATGGGGATGTTATTGCCCAAAATGTTTGTTTAAGCTTTGTGTGCTGGAGACCATGCTAGTTGGCTCCTCTGTAGTCCATAGTAATCGAAGAATGAAAAAAATGTGGGATTGATTTAGGCATCATCTAACTTTATATGATGAGTACATAATAATTGAGCGCATGAAATTCTAGTTCAGCTCCTAATTATGTTTTATTGATTGTAGGGAGAGCTGCTCTGTGCAAAAAGAACTTGAGTCCACCATGGCGACAATGCTGTGCTACTCCTTTTAATGTGTTCCTGAATCCTGTCAATACTGCGGGAAACAAGATGAAACATAAAATATAAACATATCTTTGGGTCTGAGTATATATGCCAATATTTTTTTCTTTTTGTTTGTCACTAGTAGTAGTCAGAGATGAAACTTGCTAGATCTTCTGTACAATTTACAAAACCTGCCACGGTCTCTGCTCCATTGCTATAGAAATCAACTTCTAATGAAAGTGCTATCTTGCATAAATCAAATACATTAATTTTAATATATAAAGTTGATAAGAGAAAACACCCTTGACCCAACCGCACACACAGAAATAGAAACGAGAAAAAAGAGGCACCATTCCAAAACCAAAATGCAGAAAGGAGGAGAAGAAATCACCAACTATTTTTTTCCACATCCGTAATTGCCAGGCTAGTTTAAAACTAGGTAGGGTTGGTAAATTTGGTAGTCCATGGGCATGTAGACTTAAAACAGTCAATTTTTCACATGGATGGAACCAAAAGGTAAGCTTCATTTTCCACCAAATCGGACCAAAAGCTGCACCCCACCACCCTTTGATAGCTACCTACAAAGAATGTGATCCATACATGCTACTGGTGCAATTATTAATTTTGTTTTCTTCACAATCTTTTATTGAATGCCTTCCCATCCTCAAAATTAGCACCCATATCTTCGAAAAGGACTTAGATTTTAGGAAAACGACAATACCTTCATCTCTGTCCTACTTCTTCCCTCTGCTTTTTTTATAATTTAACTTAACGCAGTCTATTATTTTTTAAAGCTAAATGTCCAAGTACTGGATGATTACCCAATTATTAAACCGAATCAAAGTATATGTTCCAATCAAAGATCGATAATATGGTCATTCCATTTCTCTTGACCAATAAAAAAGACTGTAAAAAATCGCCACTTAAAAACGGTTTGAAAATTGCGCATGTGGATCACGTCTTCTGTGAAAGCAAACAGATGACAACTGGAGGGGCTGATAATTTTCCACGGTCCACCCAATGAAATTGAAATTGGTTCATACTTGGAAACTTAACTCGTCTTGTTATACATCACGAACATCAATTTTACTGAAAGCAAAGTCCCATTCCATTAATTAAGAATTCATTCATAGAGATCCAGGATCCTTACCCATTGCATATATATAGAGAGAGAGAGAGAGAGACAACGAGAATCTCTTTCAACATAAATGGCACATGAAAGACTAGCAAATAGACGTACCGACAATTTTACTCTAATTTCACGAATACAAAAAGATGGAGTACAACTCTCTCTTCATATGAAACTGATCTATTGAACATTTAACTGAGAACTAGTAAGAAATAATTGATTTTAATATTGAGTTATTGAATTCACAAACACCTAGAACATAAGAATTTAAACTAGATTTAAAGAATATAAAGACAAAAATGCTACTTTCACAGGTTAACAAAATTTTTCTTGAGGAATACAATACACAACATGCTGCAGAAAACCCTGCTCAGCCACTCTTGCACTCAGTTTTTCTCTTTTCTTTTTGTTCTTTATATCTGTTTTCCTCTCTCCTCCTCTCCAACTTTAACATCGAGGATGGAAATGTGCCGTCAAACATGAGTAATCAATTGCCAAGTTTGAACTCCCCGACAGTAAACAATTATGTCCCAAAAATATGTCTGTGAACAGGGGCATCAAAAGTTTTGACCACTTCCATCCACGGTTTGTCAAGGATCAATACGGAACTTTTTGAAAGGTGATCAATAAAAAAAACAGGATCTCTGAAAGCCAAAAATTCAAAGTTCTTTCTACCGTTGAGTTTAGCCTCTGTTTGACAGTCTCTCAACTTGCGTTTAAGTCTTCCACTAATGGGAGTACTAGCTAACTTTCTCAAAGCAGACCCCTGACAATTTACCAGGTTATTGTCATCATCTTGATTCTCTGGCATCCCAAAGTCGATCAAGCACATTGCCCTGCACCTCAAACAACCATTCAAAATATTAGAGAACCGTAAAAACAAAGAGCCCCAAAATGTGGAAAATTGGCTAAATATTATATACACGCCACTGCCCTCTTAGCCTGTCAGCATACCCTTGCATTTTGCATGGAGATGACTAAGTCCAGGGTTCAAAACCAATACAACACTGGATAGTCCAAAGGGGTGAAGCAACGACCAACAAAGAAATTAAATATCATGCAGAAAGCAAACTTAATCCAGGGCATGCCCTTCTAAATGATAAATCTCAAATCCATAACAACCGCTGAGAGAAATGACCAAGTGAATCCGACAACTCAAATCCAGATTCCAAATTTCTTCTGCTACACCCAGCTTTGCATATCGACAAATAAATAAACCAAATAAAATTTAACTACCTAAATAAAGCAGACCATTCCTTAAGACAACATGCATTAATTTCCAAAACATCTTTCTAACCTCACTAAAACGGAGAAAGAGAGAGTAGCACCTGGCACTGTAAATGATAACAGAGGATGAACTTGGAGAGGGTGAGAAAGAGAGCCCAATAACCTCCCCAGGGCATTCTCGATATCTCTTAGGCAGAACAAATGTACGTCGCATTGACCATTCTCCTAACTGCTTAAACTCCACATCAAATGCATAAACTTGGTTCGAAGAGGTTACAATTATAAGCAAATTGTCAGTCCGAGGAGAAAAACCACCAGCAGCAACAGAAGCACCATCCAATCTTGAGATGAACCAGTGTTGCCTGTTCCACCAAACCAAAACAAATTAAATCCAAGAGAAATAAAAATAAAAATTTAAACAAGCTACACATGATGCACAACCGGATTAAGAAATTCATTAATGGCTTCGAACAGACATAAATGAAGTAAGAATTTCTCAGCCCCCGTCCACAGTGCTCCCTCACACAAGCACATATATTCTCAGTAGTAAAACTTAGGTAAAGAAAAATATCAATCATGTCCAACAACATATATAACATAACATTAATAACCAAATACTATTTCAAAAGTTTTCACTTTATTAAAGAGGTCATCCATGCCGGTTATCAACTGTGAACTATCAAACGAAGTGACCAAACATTTAGTTGTAACTTTCATGGTTACAAGTATATGTTAATATAAATTTTTTTAATCAGAAACATTTAATTGCGACTTTTGTTCATGTTCCAGAATAAACATAAAAATATGTTTCATAATTAAGTTAGTATATACAAAGATCATCACTTCATGTGTATCATTCTAGTTGGCTGCTAGTTAAGACTACTAAAAATGGTATGCCAAAATCACTATAAAAAAATAAAGGAACACAAGGTGAGTAAAGAGACTCTTGAAGAAACCTCTGAATCTTGAGATTGAATATATACACATCCCCAAAACAGTTGACGGCAGCCAGCCATTGCCCATCATAACTAGAAAACATCTTTGTTATAGAAGGCTCTTTTGGTGGTAATTTATCATCATTCTTCTCACGGCAGGGTGTGAAAGTGTGTACTAGCTCTGAACTTCCCACATCCACAACCTGTAGCACCAAAAAGAGGAATAAATAAAACACCCAGATTGTTACAGTGTCTAATTAGGCCTAGGATTTGCTCAAGTTAAAACTGTGAAGTGTTCAACCATAATTAAATGGTAAATTTTCATTCCATAAGTCAAACTGTAAAATCATTAAAAGTTGCCACCACCCAGGACTTGAAAGAGGAAAAAGATCAACACAATTAAGCCTCTTCCACCCTTCTTGAACAAGGCCAAAATCCCACAATACATAGGTACAAAATCTAAATTCAAACCAAGATTATAAATTTAGACAATTGGGTGGTCAAACAGTCTAATCAAGTGAAATCATTTCTTTCCGTATTTATCTCCTTGGTGATTGTCCACCGATACAACTTAATCATATTCGTCCACATACCAAAACATACTTTATTATTTTTTAAAGAATAAACATTAAGTAGCCAGTCTAACAAACAATTTTAATATGTAAAACAAAGAGGAATATCTGCCAACTTATTAACCAATGGAATTTGGAACATACTTGAATGCAAAAAAGGCAAACTTACGTATATCTTTCTATCATGCCCTGCAAGTATCAACCAAGAACAATCAGAAGTAAAAACCATGGAACGTGCAAACGGTAGTTTACGAGGAAGTTGCCTTTTATTGATAGACCATGCACTTTTGCCAACTTCAGGGCTCTTCAATTCAAACAGGTTCGGTTTAACATGATCAGAATATGCAAAAAGCAACCCTGAATTAGAAATGGTGCTGCATATAATCTTCTGGGATGCCTTACTCTTAACCCGGGCCAATAAATCTGTGGTTGCATGGCCACCAGATGTGCCAGAATTCATATTGCTCTTTAGACGAACAGATAGAATATCAATCCAATAAGAAGACTGGACTAGGAGCAAAGAAGTGTGATCAAATATTGTATTATGCACCAGTTGAACCGGTACTCTCTGAGGAGCAGGGCAGATATCGTGTGGAGAGTACTTGGTAAACTCCTTGGCAGAGTAGGCAAAGAGCTTGGTGTCATCACCAGCTGAGATAAGCATGGGAACTCCTGAATGAGCCCATTTATGGTAACTAAAATCAACGGGTTTCTCCCGACTACGACTTCTTTTTATCTTTTCATCCGGCAAAGGATCTACAATTTAAAAAAAAAAAAAAAAAAAGAAGCAAAAATCAGTCATGAAGAAACAGGTTAAATACATGTCAAACAGAAATAAACAAATAAATGAACTTATGCATATATAATTTATGAGTTATATAAACAAGATGCAGCTAAAACAATGTTACTGGAGCTAAAAGAACAGGTAAGCAAAACCATAAATTGAATTTTAAAAACCTGACACACCTTCATTGCTAATTGGCACTACCATTGTCAAGGCCCTCACATCATGTGTATGAGCTCTTACATGACCAACGTACACCCATTTCTTCATCACTTCCGATGAAGACTTGTCATCAATTGACCCAATTGCCTCACTTGAAACCTTATAAAGAATAACCTGCGAACAAAAGTGAATTCACCTAGTTTAGATAGCACCAAATAAAACAGACCAAAAACAACCCCAGCCAATTTAGCTGAAAAAAAAGAGGTTCCACCAATTTTTTTTTTTTTTTTTTTAATATTTTTTGGAGACAGAAGACCAAAGAGATGCTAATCACACTTAAAAATAAATTATATTTACCCTTGAAAAGCAATTCTGTTAGTAGAAGGGACAAAAAAAGGTGGAGAAATAACTGAAAATATCTATATGTACATTTAAGAATAAAGGGGAATGGCATTCAGCCTCAATCAGAAGATAATGTGTTTAAACAATAAAAAAGTCCCACTAATACCACTTATTAAGAGGTACTAAATAGCAGTACACTGTAATTATTTCTCTCTTTTGCCTTGTATGACAGTAATATGAAATGAAAAGTATGACCAACAACTTAAACAAACTGCCTCCATTTGAAGAATAAGGCAAGCACAAGACTGATAAACCATACCTGACCATCAGAACCAGCAGAGAACACACTCTTATGACTAGGAGCAGCTGCCAGAGCATTCACGTCACCTTTGTGAACAGAATGTGCCTGCAAAAGAGTTCCATGTTGACTATCCCAAAACTGAACACTGCCAGCACTATCTGCACTAACAAGAGTCCCACACCTGAATTCAAAAAATAACTTGATAATTAAAGAACACAAATTTCACCAGTGTAAATGTTGTTCTACAGAGACAGTAACCAAATAATAGTTTGAAAAAAATAAATACAGAAGAAACGTTATTTGTACCTCAAGAAAAGTAATGACCAAATGCAAAGATCAGGTCCACTACCCAAGCCTCCAAGCCCAACTGTAATTCTGTAGATCTCATTACCCAATTTCGCATCCCAACATCTAATAAACCTGAAAAGTCCATATTACACATAGTTAAGTTGATATGTTAAAAAATCTAATGAAACTGTAAGTTGATAAAAATGTCAAAGAAAAACGTGAACCAGAAGACAAACAGTACAGTATACCCCAACACATATACATGTCAGTCTTGACAACAAACTTACCCGTCACTGCTACCTGAGAACAGCATATTAGCATCAGTACTCCAGGTCACACTTAGAACACGCCCTGCAAATCATTTGGTTAGGAAGTACTAGATAATAATAATAATAATGACAACAACAATGACATGACAAAAATTGTCACCCAGGTGCAGATATCTCACCACTGACCCTAGGCAACGATTTATAGTATGTCAATTCCTCTGAATCAGAAATTCTATATATCCTAACACAACCATCATCACAAGCAACTGCTACAAGTGTATCCTCAATAATTACTGATTCTTCGTGAAGCCCATCTAAGTCAGAATCACTATCACTTCCACTAGTTTCGTAATCATCACTATCATTAGATTTGTCATTTACATATCCATTTCCAACATGTAGGGACTTCTCCTCTGAATGAATAAGCCGATTATTAAAGGGTGCAACAGCCATCTGCCAGATTGAGAACCCAATTGACTCTAGCACAATCTGCAGATGCACATAAAGCAAAACATGTTATACAATTACAGCAACATATGAGCAGAATCAATTTAAAATACTATTCTTTCTGCTTGGAATAAGTTAAAAGTACCAACAGAACAAAGTTGAAGCTTAGATACAAACAGGAATATATCAAAATGTTTTTGACAAGTATCAAGGGAATAGTCTTATATTTCTATTTCTTATTTACGCCCCCATTACAAAAACCACATTCCCTGATGGTTTAGCCCAACCTCCCTGGACTTCTTACCATTAAAACTTAGATGGTATGATTGTGATTCTGGTCACTAATACATAGATACAGACACTACATCAATATACATAGCAAGTCAAGGTTCATTTTAGACAATATTAACCTAAAGATGATTAAGAATCAAACAAAGTCACGTAGCATATATTCAACTAGTCAACTACAGCTTCTTTCTAAATTTTTATCAAGTAGAAATTACAAATAGCTAATAATGCAAATTGTTAGCATTTTGCATTTCGGTCTCACAAGAATACAACATTCACCTTCTGTTTCAAGTCAAAAAGATCCCACTCCGAAATGGAGCCATCTATACTCGAAGAAAACAGCCGTCCACAAGGAAATCCCTTTTTACCAGCACGACACCAAATAAGCGATGAAACTCTCGACTTGGGATCTCCATGAATCGTCTGAATAAACAAATAAAATTTAATACAATAATCATAATAAACATATGACAAATTTGAGTCGTGAGCAAATCAAAGTGATTTAGTTCATTGTTACCAGCTGACAGTGCCAGCTAACGGTGCGTGGAGATACGCGCCAAATCTCGAGCGAGCCGTCTTCGCGAACTGCCGCTACCTGAGAGTAGTCGGCGCTGGGGGCTAGGGCTACTACCGGTGATGGCTTCCAGTCGACTGAACTGTTCCGGTAAGCTTGGGGCATTTCCACGGCTATGCGCGAAGCCCTATGACAATCGTCGAAACGTTATGATCTCGACGGCTGTGGAAACGTGTGAGAGGTTAGCTTAAGTGGAGATAGATAGAGCATATGAGAGGGATGTGAAAATAAGTGAAGTTAGGTTTTTGAGGGTTTAAGCGCGGCGACGATATTTGTTTTTATATCTGAACCGGGTGTGATTCAACCGGTATGGATCACCGTTTTGTGCCCACCCGGTTTTCAAAGTGTATTATTCGGTTTCGATGGGTTTCGGCTTAATTCCAATTAAGCCCACAAAAGAGATGGTATTAACAGTTTTGAATCAACGGAAATGCAAGACAAACTAATTCAATTTAAATAAATTTTATTCAGTTTGGAACAATCCGGTTTAATTTAAATTCAAAACTTTTTAAAATTAGTAGACGACATATTCCCACCTAAGGTTCGATGAAATCCTAAGTTAGTACCCCTAGTTATATTTATTCCAGATTTTCATCCTCAAAATAACACTGTTAGCAATTTTTAGGGTATAGTGTGTGCAATTGTCATAATGCTCTTAACCTAAATTAATAAATTGCGTTTTAAACCCTACATTTTATAAAACTTACCATTTTATTTTCAAATTATCTCAATAACCCCTCGATCACTGCACACCCTCTCAATTTTTGCCCGATCTGGGCTGTTTTCGATGGTGTCGAACCCCCTGGTCACCTCTATCACCTTCCCATAGTCCATCATCCAAAACCCCTCTGATTCCTAACTCATTGGCCCCTCCAATCATCGGCGATGTTAGTCTTAGGGTTTTGCTGTTCTTCATCAAATTTCGGTCAATTCTGGTGGCGAAAATCCAATTGCACACCACCACTGCAACTAGCATCTCCTACTTTATAAAACCCCTATGTCCCCAGCAACCGTTTAATCGTTGTTCGCCGATCGAGAGTTTGTGTTGATCGGTTGTTTTTTGGTGAAGTGGTGGACGGCAAACGATGAGCTGCCGTGGCTGGGAAGGTTTGGGGTTTTGTAGGGGAGGATGCAAGGAGTCAAATGGTGGTGGTGGTTGGGGTTTTCGGCGTTCAAAACAGCTGGAAACCAGCAAAATCTAGTCACATGTCATGACTATCGTGGCCGGCAATCGGAGAGTGATGAGGGGTTGTGAAGGGTAAGGTTTTGTACATAAGGAGATGAAGGTTCAAATGGTGGTGACAAGGGTGATTTTTGGTGGAAGAACATTGGAAAAAGGGCGAAAAACATTGGGGATGTCGTCTGCTAACGTGCACCGGAGGACTGTTAGAGACAGTAATCTGCTAACGTGCGTCGTCCATGCAAAATGACCAATTTACCCCATAACCATTATATCAAACACTTTTCCGTCACTTTAAGGGTGTAAATTTGGAATAAATGTAGTATGGGTACCAACTTATGATTTCGTCAAACCTTGGGTGGGAATGGGCCGTTTACTCTTTTAAAATTAATAAAAGTGAGATTAGCCCTAAAATTATGTAAAACTAATTTGTCACTCCTGCTTTTTATGCTTGTCAAAATCATTGTAATAAGATTCATCTAAATTATATGTTAGCACTGAGATATATTATTTAATAGATCATTTTCCTTATCAACGATAACTATTAGTTATGAAATTAAATTTGAAGATATGACAAAAAATTATTATGAATGTGAGAGGCAATTGCTTTCGCATTAAGCACAAATTCAAGTCCTTTATAAGTAGTAGATTGTTTTCCATCACTTCATTCTTGTATTCTTTGTGCCTAAAAAATATTCCTTCCGTTAAATTACGTTTTAAGGCCTAGCACAATTTTTAAGAAAAGAAATTTCTCTCCGCTCATACTGACTCTTTTATTGAAATTGCAGTAGAGAAACTTTGGGTGTGTTTGGTTTCATGTTTCTACCCATATTCCCTAAATATTGTTTGGCACATTATTTGAGAAATATTACTGTATTTTTTTAATTACTTTTAGACTCCTTAAGTTTATTAATTTCATTAAATACCCTCAAAAAAAATTAAAAATTAACAAAAACACCCCCACCGACCCATACTTGCCAAATTCTGACAACCATCGTCGGTGGTAGCCAAAATCTGTCACAATGGCCTACACCACGACCGGAACTGGCCGATAATTCACCGATCTGACGGTGACGGCCAAAGAAATGGTCGTCGTTAACGACGGCCAAAGATGGACTTTTGCGGCTGTCGACGGCCACATCTGGCAGTAGATCTGGCCTTTTTCGGTCATATCTGTGATGGATCTGACTGGAAAAGGTCATATCGACGCCATACCCACCAGATCCGACCGGTATGTGTCATTGTATAATATTTCGGCCACATTCTGGTTGTGGTGGTTGGAATCTGGCACTGCATGTGGTGGGGGTATTTTTGTCGTTTTACAAAATTTTATATATTGGGGTGTTTAGTAAATTAGCAAACCTGGGGTTTTTTTTAATAAATTTTTATATTTTACCTCGTAATACTCTCCTATTCAACTATCCAATATTATTCTCAAAATCCTATCCAAAATAATAAAACAAACGCACCCTTTGATTCTCTTGTCGCTCTCACCTGCATTTGAAAAAGAAAGAGAGAGGAGATGAGGGGCAAAGATAGAGAAGGAGAGAGAGGAGATGAGGGCCGAGAAAAAGTGGAATAGAGAGGACAATGGAATTCATCGAGAAAGAGAGAAATGGTTGAGTAGTCAAACGACTTTTATTTTGGCAAAAAAATACCAATAAAACTATGCTTACTCACAATCTTACTAACCATCTTACTATCCTGATAAATATAACGGCATAGTATAGATACTATGCGTATGATACCCGTACTATGCCATTATATTTTCCTATTGTGAGTAAGCATAGCATTACTAAAAAAATACTCCTGTAAAACGTCAATTAATATGAAACGGAGAGAGTATATGATATAATCTACGTTATAGCAAAACTAATTTTATCATCGTACAGGTATTAATCATTTCTATATCCACCCAACGACTTATTTTTAATAACAATTCCTATAAAAACACATTTCAACCATACAGAAACATTTAGTTCTTAATTAAGTAAAGTTTTTGATTTAAAAATAATAATAAAAAGCTCCTGAAGACATTTTATATTTGCCTTAATAAATGTTCCGGGAAAAGGCCCCAAAGGGTCAGCCCAAGTCGATATTTTGCTTGAAGCTGAAGCTTTGCTATCCAAGGTTGCCAACAAATGGCCTCTCGTGGAGCGTGCATCGTAACCCAAATTCTAACGCGGCCCATCGTGTTGTTGCTTGAATGTAACGTTAGTGCCCAAATACAGCCACAACTCCCATAGTTTTATTTATTTATTTAGATCTCTTGAGTCTTGACTAAAAGGAGTGAGAACGAAGATTAGTAGAATGGCAACCCAGTAGTCTCTTCGAGAAAACTACTGGAACAGAACCTTTCTTCTCCGATCCAAAATTTTAATTTTTCAATGGAAGACGCGTTCGCCAGATCTGTATCTGAGGTCATTCACTTCCCTCTCGAAATTTGCGTTAAAAAATTAAATTTCATTAGCAATCAACTTTCGAATTTGTTTTCCCCTTTTGACTAAACATGTGAAGCTTCTTGATTGTTTATACTCTCTATTTTTTTTTTTTTTTTCTAGGTATTGGACTTTTTCGGAGTGGACCCTGCGAAAGGTCTCACTGATTCTCAGGTACTCGTAAATTCTTCAGAACATGATGTTTTACTGAATTGATTGATTATTAGCATCAGTTCAGTTTAAATTTAGCTTCTACTTACCGCGAAAGATGTTATATAATATTTGTACTTTGCAGGTGACACAACATGCCAGAGTTTACGGTAAAAATGGTACGTGCATTGTGTTATTGGTTTCCTGTAGTAGTTTACGAACAAGAAACGCGACCACAAATATTTATACTCTGTTTTCGGTTTCTTCTTCCTTTTTTCATTTTACTTGGTTTTGTGTTTGATGGCATATATCATAAATGCTTAGCAACGATAATAAGTAGTGCTTCTCCAGAAGCAGAGAAGATACATAATCATTTTCTGAATACTTGAGGCTGCCTAAACAATCGCTGTCTTCTAGCTTTTGCTCCACTCAATTCTCTGTATAGGTTTATTGATTTTGAAGATCCTGGTACGATGTGATTTGTGAGCAATTGAAGAGAACCACAACGAATTTGGGAAGTTTAAGCATGCAAATTCAAAATTTAGTTGCTGATATGCTGCTGCTTTCAATCATGCCACTATGTGGTTATGTGCTAAATTTCCCCTAGCAATTGCATGTACACGTTTTTTTTTTCTTTTTCTTTTTCAATCATCTTCGTTCTTTTGATATTGGATCTTCCTAGTTGGAAATTATAGAGTGGCTCACTTGATTGTGTGCTGGTGATCTGCAGTTACTTTGTAGAATCTTTCTACACAACATGTATTCTATATAAAGTTTAATATTCATGCATTCTATATAAAGTTTAATATTCATGCATTTTGTGGTATTATCTATTGGTGATTATATGATAACAAAAAAATGTCATTCAAAGTTATGGTGATGTATCTTTAGTACCGTCGTGAGTTAGTTTTGCTGTAATTGTTTAGTAGAAAAAGTTATGGAATCTGATACTCATTTAAAAATATGTTCTTATAATGTATTTTTCTAAATATTTTCTTCTGATGTCTTTTTCTTCTTTAATTGCATGCTTCTCTCACGCGCTGCAGTGCTGCCTCAAGAAAAAAGTAAGTACAGGGCATACTCCTTGCTTACTCCTTTTTGATACTTTTTTTATTGCCTTCATTACATTTTTGTGCATGAATACTTCTATTTCCCCTTTATATATATAAATGAAACAATAACAAGTTATGTGTTTCTAAATTCTAACCTATCTAGCTATAATTGGTTATTTTTTAGTTTGAACCTTATGTTTTTGACCCTTGAATACAGGGACTCCCTTCTGGAAACTGGTGTTGAAACAGTTTGATGATTTGCTTGTGAAGATATTAATTGCTGCAGCTGTTGTTTCTTTTGTTTTGGCTTTGGTTAATGGAGAGACTGGATTAACGGCTTTTCTGGAGCCTTCTGTAAGATCTGCTTGGCAGGGCCTGTTTCTCCTTTTATTTTTCTTTAATAAACATTTT